TATAAGAATCAACCCATTGCTAAAGCCGGTTTGGCTCAGTGGTAGAGCCTCGGTCTGCGGACTGAAAAGTCCCAGGTTCGATTCCGGTCAAGGGCATGTACATTGGTTTCGGGCACATCCCCGGTAGGGGGTGTGCAAGAGGCAGCTGGTCGATGTTTCTCTCTCATCGACATTTCTAGCTCTCTATCTCTCTCTCTTCCTCTCTATAAAAAATCAATAAAATATTTTTAAAAGATAATATGATAAACACTAAAATATTTTTTAAAATAAATAAAGAAAGAAAGAACCAATCCATGAAAGCATAAAAACGGGGAACAGCCCTGGCTGATCGGGCTCAGTGGACAGAGTGTCTGGTCTGCAGACTGAAGGGTCCCAGGTTAGATTCCAGTCAAGGGTACATGCTTGGGTTGTAAGCTCAGTCCAGCATGCAGGAGGCAGCCTATCAATGATTCCCTCTCATCATTGATGTTTCTATCTCTCTCTCTGAAAACAACAAATCTCTCTCTCTTCCTCTTTTTCTATAAAAATATAAAATAGCTAGCTTCAGTCTCTGTCAATATTTTCTGTTCTTCATTGTTTCCTCATGTCATTAATTTCTGCTGGTATTATTTGTTTCCTGCTTTTGTGTGTGAGTGTGTGTGTGTGTGTGTGTGTGTGTGTGTGTGTTTTCCATTGATCTTTAGAGAGTGGAAGGGAGGGAGGAGAGGGAGAGAAAGAGAAAGAAACATGGACTTCACGTCGACCGGTTGTCTCCCAAACTCACCCCAACTGGGGCTGGGAATCGAACCTGTAACCAAGGTACGTGCCCTCCACTGGGAATCGAACCCGAGGCCCTCTGGTCCTTGGGCCAATGCTCTAACCATTGAGCAACCAACCAGGGCTGCTTTTTCTTTTTCTTTTTACATTCATGCTGTTGTTCATTTTCTAATTTTATGAGTTGCACATTTAGTCTTTTTTTCTTTCCTAATATGAGCATGTGAGGCTATAAAATTTTTTCTCAGTACCATGCAGATGCATCCCACAAATTTTAATATGTTACAATTCTAAGTATTTTCCTTTATGATCTTTCTGACCCAGAAGTTATTCAGAAGTGTGTTTTTAAAGCTTCACACCCAGGAAATTTGTTAATTATGTTTGTTTTTTATTTAAATTCTTTATTGTTTAAAGTGTTAGTTATATTTTTTAAGTTCTTGATTTTTAAGTAAATTGTACTGTGGCCGGGACCGGTTTGGCTCAGTAAATAGAGCGTCGGCCTGCGGACTGAAAAGTCCCGGGTTCGATTCCGGGCAAGGGCATGTACCTTGGTCTTGGTTGCGGGCACATCCCCAGTAGGGGGTGTGTGGGAGGCAGCTGATAGATGATTCTCTCTCGTCGATGTTTCTAACTCTCTATCCCTCTCTCTTCTTCTCTGTGAAAAATCAATAAAATATATATATATTTTTAAATTGTACTGTGGTCAGGGATCATAGTTCATATGTTACAGATTATTTTAAAGTTGTTGAAATTTACTCTTCACCTAAGCCTTGGGTAAATAAGGTTATCTTAAACATTTAGTAAATACTCACATTTGCTTGAAAACATTGTGTATCCCCCAATTATTGGGTGCTGAGTTCCACAGATGACTATTAGATCAAGCTTGTTGACTACATGTTCAAATATTACACATCCTATTAATCAGTATTTTGTCTGCTTAATCTGTCAGCTTCTGATAAAGGAATGCTAAAATCATACACAATTCAATTTCACTTAATTCAATTTTACAAATAGTTATTGACTAGCTGCTGTATACCACATATTATCCTTATGTCAGTGAACAAAATAGTCGGATTTTTTAATGGTATATAAAGTTTAGTGGAACGAACAGCCAATGAGCAATAAAACATAATAAATAGGGCTGAAACTGGTTTGGCTCAGTGGATAGAGTGCCTTCAGACTGAAAGGTGCCAGGTTCAATTCCAGTCAAGGGCATGTACTTTGGTTGCGGGCACATCTCCAGAAGGGGGTGTGCAAGAGGCGGATAATCGATGATTCTCTCATCCATGTTTCTAATTCTCTATCCCTCTCTCTTCCTCTCTGTAGAAAAATCAATAAAATATATATTTTTTAAAACATAATAAATAGGTAAATTATGTAGAGTAATTTATATGTTAGAATGTGATAAGTGGTATGCAAAAGAGAGAGAGAGAGAGAGTGAGAGAGAGAGAGAGGGAGGGAGACCAGAAGAGTAGATGCGTGGTTCGGTAGATGTATTACAGTATTAAATAGTGTGGTAGGGTAGATAGAAAAGGTAAAATTTGAGCCAAAGCTTGAAGAAGGTGAAAGACTGAGCCAAGCACATGTGTGGAAAAGTGTTCAGGCAAAGGCTCTGTGGTAGGAGGTTGGAGCGATCAGGAAGCCAGGGTGGCTAACGCTGGTTGACCAAGGGAAGCACAGCAATAGGGAGGTCGGAGAGGAAATGAGTCCAGAACACACAGAAGGCCACTGTAGACGGTTCGGATTTCACACGGAATGGAATGGGACCTGTGCAGGGTTGGGACAGTGGGATGATCTGACATATTTTTAAAGGATCACCTTGGATGTTGTGTTGAAATTAGACTAAAGATGGGTCTTGGTAAAAGCAGGGAGCCCAGTTAATATTGCAGTAAACCTGACAAGAGATAATGACTGATTTTAAAAAGCCTAAATTAAATCAATGCCTTGATGCATTTGCTAAATAAAGTTTCAACTCTATTCATCCTCTCATTTTGTGTTATTGTCATTCACAATTTTACTTCCACTTTGTTTTATACCCTTCAAATCAGTCATTATTATTATTATTACTATGGCTTTATACCACATGTGTCAAACACAAGGCCCGCGGGCCAAATCCGTCCCGCCAGGCCTTGCAATGTGGCCCGCACCGCGCTGTCATCACTGCACTCCGCTGCGTTTCCATCACAATGACAGTTTATGACTGTTCAGTAAACCATTCGGCCCGCGATTTAGGCTGGATTTTAGATTTTGGCCCCTTCTCTGATTGAGTTCGACACCCCTACTTTATACAGACATTTTAAAATTTAATACATTTGTCAACTTATTCTCAACTTCTTGCCTTTCTGTTATTCTCTCTATGAAGAATTTCTTTTCTTCTGATGGTATATCCTTTAGATGTTCCTTCAGCAAAGGTCTGTTAGTGGACAATTCTATTTATATTTCTTTATTTTGAGTGATAGTTTAGCTTCTTCCCCTTTATCTTCTGGTTACTATAGTTGCCCTTGGGGAATCTGCTTTTAAATTGAATTACGATTCCTTTGCAGATATCATATCTTTTCTTTCTGGTTGCTTTTAATTTTTTTTCTCTTTGTCTTTTATGTTCTGGAGTTTTATTATGGTATTTGAGGCCTGGTCCATGAATTCATGCACTGGTAGGGTCCCGCAGCCTGGCCTGCGCCCCCTGGCAATCTGGAACCCCTCAGGGGATGTCAGACTGCTGGTTTCAGCCAGATCCCTGCAGGCCAGGCTGAGAGACCCCACCAGTGCACATGCATATAAGATTTTTGGTTAATCTCTTCTTTCCCTCTCCCTTCCTCCTTTCCCTCTGAGATTCATCAGTCTGTTCCATGTTTCCATGCCTGCGTGTTGAGTGCCTGCCCCCTGGTGGTCAGTGCATGTCATAGCTACCAGTCAAACAGTTGAACAGTTGCTTAGGCTTTTATATATATATATATATATATATATATATATATATATATATATATATATATATATATATATATATATATGAATGTGGAATTAGTTTGTTTTTTAAATTCTGTTTGAAGTTCCCTGTGATTGCAGAATCTGAGAAGTCATGTCCAGGAGAATTCTGGACAGCTCTCTACTGTCATCTTTGAATACTGCCTCCTTACTGCCCACCATCAATTCTATTCTTCCCTTTTGAAATTTCAACTAGATATATTTAATCCTTTTCATTCAATCCTCCAAGTCTCTTAAGCTCTCTTTCATTTTTCCCATCTCTTTATCTCCTTATGCTGCATTCTGAGAAATTTCTTCAGATCTACATTCTAGATCAGTGGTCAGAAACTCATTAGTCAACAGAGCGGCAAATGGCGGCTCACAAGCCATATGTGGCTTGCGAGCCACAGTTTGCCTATCACTGTTCTAGATCCATGCTGTTCAATGAGTCATTTGTGCTCTTTAACCTGCTCTTAAGGATTTCTCTTTTCAATACTTTATTTTTTACTTTCAAAATTCTGCTTGATTCTTTTTCAGATCTGCCCAGTGACTCATTATGCACTCATGTTTTTTATTCCGTATTGTTTAATAATATTAATTATAACATATACCCAATAATTACATGAAGTGCCTGGAAGTCTAATTCTACTGTCAGACATTTCTGCTAACTCGTATTCGTGTTTCCTTATGCACTTTGTAATTTTGCATTATGAGCTTAAATTCTATGGGCCTTTATATGTGGGAATTATGTGTGACCTAGATAGAAAGCATATCCCTCTAGAGAAATTTTGAGTTTGTTTTCTAATAATATCCAATAATGTCCCATATGATATTTGGGTGATTTTTTTTCTGAATATTTAGGATATATACTTATACTAAAAAATGATTTATTCCCTGACATTCAAATTTATCTGGCCTCCTATATTTCATCTGACAACCTACTGGTATGAAGCCATGGTCTTGCCTCCCATTCCTAAATAGTTGTTTAAACGTTAGCATCTTATTTACCAAAACTTGCAAAATCAAAAAGCAAAAACAAAACACTAAAGCAAAAAAAACCAAAAACCCTTCACCTGATCACTCTGGATTCCATTTTTCTTGGTTTTGTTTCCTCTTGATTTCTGAGGATGGGAGGTTCACCTTACTTTCAAAGGGAAGTCTTAAGATTAGTCTTTTTAAAAACAAAAGGCCAAAAAGCTTGCAGGCCACTTCTGCTTCTTGCATTTCCACATACCTCTCCTAAGGCAGTCGGGGCAGGCCTGTGCCCCGCTAGAATGGAGAAGAGGCAAAGTTGAGAGGAACAACATAGAAATGGCTATTTCGCCATATCCCTCTGCACAGATAAGAGGTTTGGCTAGCGCCAGAGCTTGTGTGAGGCCATTCCTGTGCTGACTGAAAAAGACTCGTTTCTCCTTCTCAGTGCACCACCGCGAAGACTTCTTGGCAAGCCCGGCAGGACCCAAAGGACTCGCTCCATGGAGGGATGCTCGGTGGCGACGCCAGCCAATGGCTCCAAGGACGGCTTGGATTTCAACCCCATGAAGGAGTACATGGTTCTGAGCGCGCAGCAGCAGATAGCGGTGGTGGTGCTGTGCACCCTCCTGGGCCTGCTGAGCGCCCTGGAGAACCTGGCGGTGCTCTACCTGATCCTGTCCTCCCGCCGGCTCCGCAGAAGGCCCTCCTACCTGTTCATCAGCAGCCTGGCGGCCGCCGACTTCCTGGCCAGCGTGGTCTTTGCTTGCAACTTCGTGAACTTCCACGTCTTCCAGGGCGTGGATTCCAAGGCCGTCTTTCTGCTGAAGATTGGCAGTGTGACGCTGACCTTCACGGCCTCGGTAGGCAGCCTGCTGCTGACCGCTATCGACCGCTACCTCTGTCTGCGCTACCCGCCCACCTACAAAGCCCTGCTCACCTGTAGGAAGGCCCTGGTGACCCTGGGCATCATGTGGGTCCTCTCGGCATTCGTCTCCTACCTGCCCCTCATGGGGTGGACTTGCTGTCCCAGCCCCTGCTCCGAGCTCTTCCCGCTGATCCCCAACAACTATCTGCTGGGCTGGCTCCTGTTCATCACCCTCCTCTTCGCCGGCATCCTCGTCACCTACGGGCACGTCCTCTGGAAGGCCCACCAGCATGTGGCCAGCCTGGCTGAGCACCGGGATGAGCAGGTGCCAGGAATGACCCGGATGAGGCTGGATGTGATGTTGGCCAAGACCCTGGGGGTGGTGCTGGCTGTTCTCTTCGTATGCTGGTTCCCGGCCCTCGTTCTCATGGTCTACAGCCTGGCCACCCCGCTGAGTGACCAGGTCAAGAAGGTCTTTGCCTTTTGCTCCTTGCTCTGCCTTGTCCACTCCATGGCCAACCCCATCATCTACGCCCTGCGGAGCGGGGAGCTCCGCGCCTCTGCCCGCCACCGCCTGGCCTGCTGGAAGAAGCACCTGCGAGGCCTCGGGCCTGAAGGAAAAGAAGAGGGGCCGAGGTCCTCGGTCACTGAGACAGAGGCCGACGGGAAAGTCACCCCGTGGGCAGATTCCAGGGGTCTGTACTGCTCTGACTGATGACGCGGCCTCGTTCGGAGTTTGGAACCAGCCACGTCAGAAATCATGTCACTTCCTGGAGGAGAGAGAGAGCAGTCTTGACCCTCTCATCTCACTCGAACCAGGCCCAGAGGCCTTGACACCTACCCTTTTTTGCTGATGAGAGTTGGTATTCCTGGAGAGTGCCTGGTCATGCTTATCTGCACAGCTGGGCCCTGTTGGGAGCAATCACGTGGGCAGGAGGCAAGACATGTGGGACAGGCTCAGCGCATGTCAGGCCAGGAAAACCTCCTCAACAAGATGGCTTAGTGCCTGCCTTCTCCAGAGACCACGGAGCCAGGGGGAACCTTCAGGCTCAGCAACGAGGGGCTCGGAGGAAACGTGAGAAGAACAGATTCTTCTCCTGGGACCTCAGGGTCTGGGTGGCTGCTTGGCCAGCCCTTGTTCCTGCTTAACTGTTGGGGCCTTGTTGGTTCTAAGTCACCCCTTCCCACTGAGGATCTTTTTAGCTTACCCTATCCCACTGAAGACCAAGAAGTGTGATTCGATGAGGATTTGTGGGTGTGGATCCCCCTCTTTCGGAGGCAGCTGACAGCCCTCCAGTTAAGGGCATCTTGTTATTAAGGCAATGGTCCTCTTTTTTATTTCAGAGAGGAAGGGAGAGAGAGATGGAAACATCAATGATGAAAGAGAATCTTTGATAGGCTACCTCCTGCACGTGGCACATGTCCTTGACTGGAATCGAACCCGGGACCCTTCAGTCCACAGGCTGATGCTCTGAATCCACTAATCCAAACCAGCTAGGGCTAAGGTATGCTGGCAATGGTCCTCTTTGACTCCTGATAATCCCCGTTCACAACCACTGTAACCTCTTAGGTCTCTGGGGAATACGGAGGCCGGGGTCACTTGAGACACAGAATCTTCAGAGAATTTTTTTTTAATAGCATAGGTGGAGATTTATTGAAGAACAAGTACAGACTCCCACATGGGGAGAGGAAAGAGTCCCTCAGAACTCACTCCCACATCGGGAGGGGGAAGAGTCCCACAGAGAATTTTATTGACCCTGTGACGTCCTACTTGGTGGCACCACTGGCAGTGGCAGTGCCCCAGTCTAACCCAACTCCAAGAAAAAGGAAGTTAGTCACCAAGTTTTTATAAATCCCCAAATTGTTCTCACTCATTCTGAGTTCAGGCCTTTTTATCTCCTCCATACCCCATTGCAAATATTAGGTCTAGTAATAATTAATGTCGTTTTCTAATACTTTTTTAAATTGAATTTATGTAAACAATACAACAAAATTTAATCAACAATATAGTTGCCGTTGTTTTCTACTACTTGTGCCCAACGCTCAGGAAGCATTTTAATCCCTCTGTTGTAAAATTCTTGTGATTTTGATGCAAAAAATTCGGTCAATGCATTTTTGAGGCATTCTTCATTATTAAATTTTTTTCCAAGAAGAAAGTTTTGCAAAGAACGAAACAAATGGTAATCGGAAGGGGCAATATCAGGAGAATATGCAGGTTGAGGGGGAACTTCCCATTCCAACTGGCGCAGTTTTTTAGCAGTGATTCTTGCAGTATGCGGTCGTGCGTTATCGTGGTGAAGAATTATGCCCTTCCAATTAATCAGCGCGGGTTCTTTTTCTCTTGAAGCTTGGGCTAACCTTTCCAATTAGGCACTATAAACTGCACTTGTAATGGTTTGGTTAGATGGTAAAAGTTCATAATGAAGAATTCCTTTAAAATTCCACCAAACACACAACATCACTTTTTTTGCATGCAAGTCAGGTTTTGGCGTGGGCTGCGGAGCCTCATTTTTGTCCAACCATTGAGGCCGCCTTTTCAAATTAACATATAGCACCCATTTTTCATCTCCGGTAACAATTTGCTCTAAAAACAGCAAATGGTTTTGACGAGAGAGGAGCGAACTGCAAATTGTGACTCTTTGATTACGGTTGTTGTCGGTCAACTCATGAGGAACCCATTTTCCAAACTTTTGGACTTTGCCAAGTGCACGCAATTGATTGGAAATTGTTTTTTTGTGAACAATTTAAAGCTCTTGTTGGGTAATTTGAGGATTTTGCACCAAAAGAGCTTGAAGAGCTTCTTGATCAAAATTAGACACACACATTTTTTTAGAGAGAGTGGAAAGAAGGGAGGGAGAGAGAAAGAAACATCAATGGGAGAGAGACACATCAATAGGTTGCCTCCTGCATGTGCCCCAGCTGGGGCCAGGCATCAAACCTGCAACCCAGGTACGTGCCCTTGACTGGGAATTGAACCCTCAACCCTTTGGTGCACAGGCTGGTGCTCTAACCACTGTGAAACACAGGCCAGGGCTGGGCTAAGTACTTTCCTCTTTTTTTCTTTTTTTGAGGGGCTACGTACTTTTAAATAGGTATTTCATTTGGTCTTCACAATAGCTCGATGAGGGTTTGGTGTCCTCATTTCACACATGAGGAAACTTCTAAGAGGCAAAGTCACTCGCCTGAGGCCACACCGTTAATCCGTATCCAGAGCTGGGGTTTCCAAACCAGTTCTGTTTGACTCCAAAGCCTACCCTCCCACCACTAATCTCTTAACCTATGATAGTTCAGTCAAACTCAGCTTCATTAGAAGTACAGATTGCTACAACCTTAAATCATCATTATTTCTCAGTGTATTTCTTTCTTAGGCCCTGTGTTAGTTTCCTATAACATTTTCCCATATTAAGTGCCTTAAAACAACAGAACTGTATTCTTTCACAGTTCTGGAGGCTGGAGGTCCAAAATCAAGGTGTTGGCAGGGCCATGCTCCCTTCCAAGGTTCAAGCAGAAGATCGTTTCTTGCCTCATCCGACTTCTGGCAGCTTCCGGTGTTCCTCGGTTCGTGGCCACGTAACTCCAATCCCTGCCTGTACACTCACAGCCTCGCCAGCCCCTCTGTCTCTTGGTGTCTTCTTTTAAGGACACCAATCATTGGATTATGGCACACTCTTAATCCAGAATGATTTCACCAAAATTTAACAAGTTACAACTACAAGGACTATTTCCAAGTCAGGCAGCACGCCCAGGTTCTGGGTAGACGTGAAGTTCTGGGGGACACTATTGAACCCAGTTGAAATGGCATAATTTTTTAAAGGTAAATTTGTGATGCCTTAAAGTTGGGGCATGCCTTTCTCTTCTCATGTTAGCAAAGAAAATGCCTAAGGGCCTGGCATAAATTGAAACTCAGTAAATATTTCTGTAATAAATATAGAGCTTAAAAGTCATCGAATTAAATGCACTTCCAGGCTTTCTACCTCTCTCCTTTTGCAATCTCCTGTTTCAGCTTTAAGTAAAGATCTGGAGGTTATGAAGGAGGAGAGCAAGGAGATAAGGCACCTCGGATATCACTGAGAACGGCCCCCATTGTTTAGAGGAGGAAACGGGTCCAGACTGTGGATGAGACTTGCCCAAGGAGCCCCCGTTAGGTGGTGTCTAGTGCGAGAAACCCAGTTTCCCAAGTTCTAATATTGTCCAGTCTGTCACGGCGTCTCTCACCTGTTCCTGCAAATTTGCATTTTGGTTATGAGGATGTTGACCTTTAACAAATAGACAGCCCGCTATTTCTCCAGCAAAATGGGTTGATTCAGGAACAATAAAGAATTGCAATCCAGGACCTGCGGTCTAACATGCACAAATCCAGAGGACTGTTGTATGTGAAGAGTCCACCGAAGGAAACGAAAAGGTTGAAGTATGGAGGTTTTTCATTGGCTGCGTTGTGGCAATCTCTCATTGGCTGTTACAGGGCAAGGAGGAATCTTTTCTTTCTTGTGTTTAGGTGGTAATGTAGTTATCACTTCCTACTGTAGCTGCAAGGTATGTCTGTCCAATTGGGGTTAATAGTACCCATTGAGTGGCATGTGGCATCCAGCCTTTGACTCTATTTTAAAAGAGGTTTCTGTTTATTAATTTTCACAAGGTTAAGGAGGAATAAAGGTCACAATGTCCCATTTTGCCTTCCCCAAGATGAGTTCTATAACATCAAAGACTATTATTCTGATCATTAGAAAGTGTGTGAAGATGGGCTTGGTTTTGTTTTTTTAAGGTGTCCGTGCTTTACTGTTTTGGACAATATTTTAGCCTAACCTTGCAGAGAAAGAAACACAGATTAGAATAGCTGTTTACTCAGCAATTGCCTTTGTATTTCCTTACAACTCCTAGGATGAGGAAGTGCGTCGTTCTGTCTACACAGGCGCTGTCTCCTTCCGGGTGCAAGAGAGAAGCAGCATGCGGAGAGGCACAAATTCTGGAGACCTGGGTTCTGGTCCCCCCTCTGAGCTCAACTAGCTGCATCCTCTTGAGCAACTTCTATCCTCTCTCTGGGTCTCCGTTTTCTCCTCCCTCAAATGGAGAGAGGAGGAAAGGGGATTGTGTCTGAGAACCCCAAACTCCCTGCTGCAGTTCTCTCACTGAAATGGAGGGACTGGCGGTGCCACTTAGGGTCACTGTACTTCTCACGCCTGCTGGCCTCTCCTCCTGTCTGAGCATGCACAGCACGTGCAGGTATAGAGAACTTGGTGACCTCCCTGCCAGACAACATTCACACAGGTACTTCTAGGGCCTGGGACTCCTTTTATTTTATTTTTTAATTACCGTTGGCACTCAATATAATTTTATATTAGTTTCAGGAGTATAGTATTGTGGTTAGACAGTTATATCATCTATGAAGTGATTCCACCTGATAATTCTAGTACCCACCTGGGACCATACATAGTTATTACAATATTTTTTACTATATTCCCTATGCTGTAGGACTTGGGGCTCTTAATTTTTTTTACCCTACTATTCTAAAAACCTTCCTTTGTGGTGCTTGTATGTGCATCTAATTTTCCAATTAGATGTTAGTTTCTTGGAATGGTTAGGCTCCCAGAATTCCCAAAGCAAGTATCAGATAGGCAAAATGGTCACACCTGCTCTTCCCCTTTCAGCATCCAGTGTTCTCCCTCCTCACAATGCTTCTACCAGCATTAGTCTACTTTGTTAATTTCTGCCAGGACGGTAAAAATGCCCTTGCATCTGGTGTTCCCGCCTCCAGCTTGCTCTTCTGTGCTACATCTCAGAAAGTCCGCTATGACTCCCAACGGCCAAATGCACCACACCCTGTTCTCTGTGCACACCCGGCCTCCTGCAACCCCACGACTGAATCAGTTGATCCCACGACTGAACCCCGCCATGCAGCCTTCAGAAGTTTTCATGACACCACCAGCCGCCGAGCGCTGTCAACGCCTCCTTGCGTCTTTTCTCCTTCTAAGCGCAAGAGGGCGCACCAGGGCTGGCGGACTAAGAGCGGAAGAGGCTCGGTAGCTTAGCAGCCGGGGCTGACCCCGCCCCTTTTCCCTACCGAGCCAATCATTAGTCAGAGTGGGCGGGGCCTCGCGCCGCGGCTGCGCGGTGAGAGGGGATGGTGGAGGCGGAGGCGGGCAGTCGGAGTGAGGTCTCCCGAGATGCGGTGGCGGGCGGTGGGCACCCGGCGGCCGCCGCCGCTGCTGCCGCTGCGGCTGCTGCTGGTCCTCGGCGCGGCCGAGTGGGCGCTCGGGGCTCAGCGCCGCTACACCCCGGACTGGCCGAGCCTGGACTCGCGGCCCCTGCCCGCCTGGTTCGACGAGGCCAA